ACCGCAGGACTTCATAACACCTTGAGATATTATAAAAAAAAATATTGAGATTTTCATAAGTTAAAGGAATTTCACTTCAATGCAGTTGAATGCAGGCCCGTCGAAAGGGAGGGGGAAAAGGGGGGAATCCCCCGAGCTCGGGCTTCTGAAGGGGCCCGAAATATCAGAACCATAACTTCTTATTATTTTTTTTTACAATGTAATTTCTCCTTCGTTATAGGCTTTTATTATAAATATATTCCGAATCGTGCTGATTGTGTCTGTTTCTATAAATTAAGGAAAATGATCATTTGGCCTAAAACGCGGACTGTTACGATACGTTTTGGCTCACAGTGCTTTTCAAATACCGCTGAAACTCGGTAGAATGCAACTTTCAGATAGTAGTTGCATCTGAAAGCATAAGCATCTATGTAGCTCTTTAATATACATATACCTAAAAAATATTGTAACTCCTGTTGTTTAGGGGTTATGAATATTTCAACAGGCGACTGTTACATTACAATTTTTGGAAGTACTTTTTAAATCTGCTTCATATTATCGAAAAAGTCTGCTCTCCTTATATAATGTTTTCAAAAGTTGGTACACAGTTTTTTATGTGGGGTGCCTGTAGATGGAGGCAAGGTGGGTTTTAAGGCATGGTAGTTCAGGCCCATGCTAGCTCGCCGGATGGGGGGGTCGTTTCCACCAGCCCCACCTACTCCAAAACAAACAAAAAGTAGTCATGCCTGATTTGGGAAGCTAAGCGTAGGAAGAAGCGAATCCAAACAAAGACGAATGAAAGCGGAAGGAGGAGGCCCGTCCCGTCAGGTGGAGTCATGCCACCCCCTCTGCGGGCCTTACGTACGCAGTCATGGGCGCTGCGCCGACTCCTACCTATTTGCAGCGCCCCCGTGCCTGACATAGTCCGTCTGTCTATTCGTCTATCATGTCTTGTCTCCGTCCTGTCATTAAGTCTACGCCCTCTCGTCCCCTCTTAAGCTCAGGTGTAACACCCACACCAAATATGGACCTTCACCACTTCATCCTACGTAACCAATCATTCACCCAGTTACAAATTCCACAAAGATGTTCATTTATGTCCCTCTATATTTTTTCATTCACATTCCCAATATAACCGAGTACACATGTTTCTAAATTTAGGCTAAAACTAATTATATAAAAGAAGGTAATAACTAACTAATTAATGCAATGCACAAAATTCACAATTCCAATGCCGAAGAAAAGTTAATACTTCATAAAAAAATATAAATTTAAAATTTATAAATTATATTGCCAAATGCTCAAACCAGAGAACATTCAACAACGAGAAGGTGCAAACGACTCAGTGGAAATCATTGTGGTATTGAAGTTTTTATTTTCTGAAACGTTTCTAGTATGGAATTTTAACAGATCCATTTGGAACGCAATTGTCCTGTTAAATTCCGAGGTAGAAACGAAGAAATAAACAGTTTTCGGATCGCTATCGCACTTTTTGACGCATGATATAAATATTTTTGTGTTAAAAAGTGCGATAGCGATTCGAAAATTGTCGCCAACTGGTTACAGAATCTCCGCCCAGGTACTGTTCTATTCCGTTCTTCTGGACATTCGTCACATGGCCTGGGCGATAAATTCGTTTAAACCATTAAAGTCGCCGGGACTGATGGCATTATATCTGCACAGCTGGAAAGGTCTGAAGGTGTCGTGCAATTGGTTGGATCCATGCATGAGGACCCGCTACATCCCCAAGCCTTGGAGCGTAGTCAGTGTTGCGTTCATCCCGAAGGCCGGAAATGGTTATCATGTTTCTCCTATCAGTCACTGTCTTTCGAGAGCTCAATATGCTTATTGCAAGAAAAGGTCGGTGAATACCGCCCTTCACACATTGGTAAAGTCGTCACAGGAAGCTTTCGCGCATGAAGATTATGCAGTAGGAGCCCCTTCGATATCGAGGGGGCCTTCAACAACGTCACTCCTGAGGAAATAGTCTAGTATATTTATAATATTGGGGGTTGACACCAACCTAATAAGCTTACTTCGTGACAGAACTGTCGCGGCGAAGTGGGGGAGTCAATGGGAGCACTCCACAAGGTAGTGTTCTCTCTTCCCTGCAATGGATTGCGGTTGTAAACGACCTTCTAAAGGAACTGGAAAAGGGGGCTGTCGGGTGATCGGCTATGTAGATGATGTGGAACTTTTGGTCAAGGAACGATTTCTATACACACTTTTTGATCTAGCTCAAGGTTACCTGAACCAGGTAACTAGGTGGACGATCAACGGCGGCGGAAGCCTAACATTGAGGAAAGGGTACGAAAGGTGCGATTGGTATTCATGCGATGCGACTAGAAATTTCGACTGATCCCTTTGTATCAGCTGTCAAGAGGAAGTTGAAGTGGAATCATCTCCACACTTTCTTTTAGGCAAAGAACATAGTGACGCGACAAAGAGAGCGACAAGACATTTTCGGATAATAGCGACAAAAACAAACCTTTATTTTTCAATGTGCCAGCACATAGTGAAGCGAAAACTGAAGAAAGCGACAAAGGACAAAGCGACGAAAACAAAAAAATTTGTTTTCGTTGCTTTCTGAGCTGACGGTTGCTTCACTATGTTTTTACGTTTCTTGTCTCTTGTTTCGCTATTATCAGAAAATGTCTTGTCGCTCTCTTTGTCGTGTCACTATGTTCTTTGCCTTAGACTGTCCAACCTTCGCGAGGCTTAGGTGGAAACATTTTGGCTCGCACTTGTGAACAAATGCTGAGCTCCCAAGGATCGAAATTAGCCGCATTCGAAATTTCGTAATCGGCTCGCGGCGTTAACTTAACCCAACCTAACCTGTAACAAAGAACGTAGACAACAAGAAGGGACAACTCGTAATAATTGTGGCGAAAGTGAGCAACAGGGTCGCACCTTCTCTTTTCATCCAATCAGAAAACGCACTAGGGCAAAAGAGAAGGCACGCCCCTGTTGCGCGCTTTCGCTACAATTATAACGAGTTGTCCCTTCTTGTTATCTATGTTCTTTGCCTGAACTTCTTTGAGCTATGATATAGTTGGTCATTTTATGTACGAATATGTATATATATGAGTGTGTGTATGTATATGTATATGTAATCAGATCAGTTTTCCACTCACCTTAGCTCTCCCACGATGATGGTACCAACACGTTGAGAGGATTGCTGAAAAGGGGGTGGAACATAAATATGCACAGCTCTAAACATACATACATATTGGCATATGCTTCTTAATTGAGGTCGGGAGACCTACTTTGTTTGCTTTCCTAATCACTCGCTGGTATTTACGCGCGGCCAGCGAGTCAAACGTCCGGCAAATAATCGCGAACTCAAAAAAAAAAAATGTATCAAAAATTAAGTAGCAGCCAGAAATATTTAACCAAATGCAGCTAATAAACGTTAATCGAAGAAACCGAAAAAGAAAACTAACGCAAACAAAAATTGGGCATACAGTCTCCAAAAAAACTATGTGCTTAATTTCGCAAAAGAAAAAGGAGAGATGCAAGAAAAAACATATAAATGACCATGCGAATTTGTGTAGCCTAAGGTGCAAAAAAAATAATAATAAAAAAACGCTAATCACCAAATCGTACAAAAATAAAAAAGTATATATGTTGATTAAATTAATTGAATTAACTAAGGATAGGGATAACGCGAAAAGTTAATATAATTTAAATTCATGCTAAAAAGGAAAAACCAAAAAAAGCAAACTAAATGACAAGTGTTGTTGCTATGGCAATTAACAAACGGTGAGTTCATATGGAAATCTAGGAACGAAGCAAAACTCTAATACATAAAGACTAGGCTAAAGTAACAAGCGACAAAAAAAGAAATCTGTGTTTGAGCCACTGTTTTTCGCGCGGTGGTACGTATGTATGGATGTATGCTACTTTTCTCCCCTCCATTCATCTCATTTAGACTCCACTTGCTCCCACGTCGGTAAGTATCTCCTCGCCCTTAGCTCTCTTGTTTTTCTCCTCCTGACGAACTGCAGATTCCAACTTTTATGCAGCGGGCATTGACCCGCTCTCGATTTGACCACTTCTTCCTGTTTTGTACTTTTATTGTTGTTGCCTTTGCCTTTAGCTAGCACCGCTGATCTCAGGCTACTTCAAATGTATCTCCTTGGCTCTTTTGGTGTGCTCCTTCTGTTGCACGTAGGTGTTGCCTCCTTTATCTTTTGCTGGCTGGCGCGCAGTGGGTACGAGGCCCTTTTATCCTTGTATACTGGCGGCCTGGAAAAAACCAAAAATTTTATTATTAATTAAAATACAACAAAAAGGCTTTTTTTCCTTGGGGCTTTTAATTCGTGTGGATGTACATGCATACAAACATATGTATGTCGCTATTGGCAAGTCAGACCATTCGCATGCACATACAAGTTAACACCAGCGAGAGGTTGATACCCTTCCATAAAGTGCTGACACCTCGCTTGTCAATACGCGCACCGCTTGCCATTCCGTCACAACAAAATCAACAGTAATGTAGTATATTCGTACTTGCGAATATCCACTTCAAATAGTACACATATATTGTACTTATAATATATATACTTATAAAAAACTGGAGGAAAAGAAATTACTTGAGCACGTTGCTTAGTGGTAGAAAATGTAGTGGTGGTTTATTCATATGTATATCGATAATTCTAGTGTTGGGTTTATTAACAATGGAGCGTTCGAGAGGCAGCGCAATATATACGTACTTAAGGTCAAGACACATAAGTACACATAAGTGTGCTAAAGGGCACGTCACATAAAAGTGTGCTATGCTATATTACACGCCTCCCTCAAAGTTGAAAACTTACTTTAGTTTTATACAAATTCATTTACATTTGTTCATTTTTACATTTGGTTTTTTTGTAATAATACTAGTTCAAAAAATTTACATTTGTTTTTTTGTAATAATACTAGTACAAAAAATTTACATTTGTTTTTGTAATAATAATTTTGAAATATTTACATTTGTTTTAGTTTATGTTCTTCTCTTTAGAAAAAAAATTTATAAACAACTATTTTTTTACGGCTTTGCCGTCTTGGCGTGGTCTTAAGGCACTCTTAGGTGTTATATCATCAACCGTCTGAGGCGTATTCTCTTTAGTGCTAGTTTCATTACTACTTTTGCTGGTAGATTGGTCATTTATAACCAAAGTATTGGGATTAGCCTCAGCGTCAGTACTAATGCTACCTTCACTATTAGCGCTATTGTTTGAAGTAGCTTCTGATTCAGATACTTCAATGGTGTTTGCCGATTCAGACGCTTCATTAGAGTTGCGTGGTCGAATTTGATTAAGATGTCTTTTGATTGTTCTATTATTTAACAATGTACAGCAGTATGACCTAGGGCCTAACTGTTCTCGAATTGTACCTGGAGACCAGCTAGCTTTATTGGGATTACTGTAGTCACGAATCCAAACTTTTTGACCCTGACTCAGTTCTAATTCACGTTTTCCACGGTAGTTGCGTTCACTAATCTCTTGTTTTTCAATAATTTTTTGCTTTACTAAAGGAGGCTTAAAAGTAGAAAAACGAGTCTTGAGTTGTCTACCAAAAAAAATTTTAGCTGGAGACTCGCCTGTGGTACAGTGTACTGAGTTGCGATAGTCTGCCAAAAATCGATTAATTATGTTGTCAATGTCAGCATTAACATTGGCTTTCAGACAAGCATGAAATGATTTTTTAAAAGTTTTTACAAAATTTTCAGCTTGACCGTTTGATGCAGGGTGACCAGGTGGTGTTAACGTATGTTTTATTCCATTGCAACGTAAAAATTCCTTGAAATCAGCTGAAGTGAATTGTGAGCCATTGTCACTGACCAATACATCCGCCAGTCCAAAACGACTGAAAGTTTCTCTTAATTTACTTATAACAAACTTGGATGTTATGTCTTTGGTCTTAAATATCTCCACCCATTTGGAATAAGAGTCAATGACAATAAGAAAATGAAAATTTTTAATAGGTCCTGCAAAGTCTAAGTGAATTCTACTCCAAACAGAATCTGTTGGTTTCCACGAAATTAACTTACTCTTTTCAGGACTAGACTGCAGAACTTGACAAGGTTTACAACTTTTTATCAACATCTCGATATCATTATCTAACCCTGGCCACCATACATAGGATCGCGCGAGACCTTTTGTTTTAACTATACCCAGATGAGAAAGATGTAGCGATTCTAAGACCGATTGTCTTAGTTTCTGTGGAATGACCGTTCTATAACCCCACATGATACATCCATATTCAACGCTCAACTGGTCTGCCTTGTCGCGATATGCTTTAAAACTTTCATTTTTTACATTTGGTAATGTACCACTTTGAATTGCTTCAAGCAGTCTTGAAAACAAAGGATCTCGTTTGGTTTCTCTTGCGATATCATTAAAACTTAAAGAAATGTGATTGTCAGACTCAACAAAATTTATATAATTACATTCTGGTAAATCTTTACCAATAACAGATTGTGGAATTCTTGATAAGTTGTCAGCATCATTAAGGCTGCCCTTGACATACTCTACAGTATAATTAAAACCAGATAGAATTAGTGCCCACCTTTGAACACGAGCAGATGCCATAACAGGTAAACCCTTAATTTCACTGAAAACTGACACCAGTGGTTTGTGGTCTGTTAACAACTTGAATTTGTTACCTAATAGGTATTGTTTGAGTTTAGTTACTGAAAATATAATAGCTAGTGCTTCTTTTTCTAAAGTGCTATAATTCTTTTCACTTTTGCTTAGAGCTCTAGAAACAAAAGCTATGGGTCTCAAAGAATTATCAGGAAACTTATGCGACAAAACTCCCGCTACTGCGTTATTACATGCATCAGTAGTCAATACTATTGGTAAGTTTTGATTAAAATGAACAAGAACTTGATCGGAACATATATCATTTTTTATCTCTTCATAAGCTTTCTGACACTTCTCTGACCACACAAATTTAACATTCTTTTGAAGTAATTCGTATAAAGGTGACATTTTATGTGCAAAGTTTTTAATAAATTTTGCATAATAATTTACCATGCCCGCAAAGGCTTTTACTTCAGAAATATTTTTAGGAATAGGGGCATCTTTTACGCTTTTTATTCTTTCATCAGTTTTGGTTAAACCGTTCTTATCTATGGAAAATCCTAGATAGGTGATTTTTTCTTGAAAGAAAACTGTCTTTTTCGAATTTAAAGTTAAGTTCGCTGATCTTAATTTCTCCAATACAAGTCTTAAAGTTTTTATATGCTCTTCCATATTTTTGCCTGTAATAGTAATATCATCTTGATAAACTACGACGTTTGCGATGTTACGCAATAAGCTTTCAATAGCTTTTTGAAATATTGCAGCTGCAGGCTTGATACCAAACGGCAAACGAGTGACTTTGAGAGTGCCTATGTGTGTACTCCACGTACATAATAATTGTGATGCTTTATCTAACTCTAATTGGTTATACGCATTCGATAAATCGAGCTTAGTAAACAATTCCCCACCTTGTAGAGATGCAAAAATTTCTTCAATACGCGGCAATGGATATTTTACGTCAACTAAATACTTGTTCAAAGTTACTTTGTAATCAGCACATATTCTCAAATCACCGTTTGGCTTCAAGACTGGGACTAAAGGTGTACCCCAGTCAGAATGATCAACCAACTCAAGAACTCCTTGTTTTATTAAATCACGTAATTTTGTTTCGACTTTGTCTTTCCATGCCAATGGCAATGGACGCGGTTTAAAAAAAATTGGTTTCGAACCTTCAATAATAGATAAAGATACTTTGCTCACATTGTATTTACCAAGTGAGTCTTGAAAAACATTTGAAAATTCACTCTTAATATTTCGAGCTAACTCCTCTTTAGTAAGATTGTTAATTGAATTGACTTGTAAAAGTTCAAAATTGAACGCGCGTAAAAATGATCTACCTAACAGAGGTGGGTTATCATGTTTGGTCACAACTACAGTAATCTCTTTCTTAATACCCAAGTACATAATCTGTGCATTGTACTCACCAACAATTTGTATGCGATCACCACTATAATCAAGATAGGGTGTGTTACACTTACGAATAGTTTTGTTAAAATGTTGTTTGAAAAATTTCTCTGATATCAGCGTACACGGTGCACCTGTATCGCAGGCTGCTCTAACCTCAATACCATCAAACGACACAGAAAGAGAATACACCTCATTCGGCTTTTGATCATTTACACTAAAAATAGAATAATTAAAAATATCATCTTTGCAATCATCTTCAACCTTACTACTATTAGATACGTAATTTAATTGTACTTTCATCCGGCATACAGAAGCAAGATGTCCAATTTTACCGCATGAATTGCATTTGCTTTTCTTGAATTTGCATTTTTCGGACTCATGGTTACGCCAACCGCAATGACTACACGTTTTTCGCTCGTTTTTGTTAGATTGACTCGCATCTTTGTTGTAATTTTTCTTCTTTTTCATGAAATTCACGCTAACCTCATTTTTATTTTCGGCCTTTGCCGCCATTTTGCACTCCAGAACCATTGCTTTTCTTAAAGCCTCTTCACAAGTAATAGTTTCAGTTTCTTCACACAATTTTTCGTATATTTTGGTCTTTGCCCCAACGATAAATTGATTTAAAATGAATGCATTTAAATTTTCTGCAAATTTGCAGGTTAACGCAAGCTTTTTTACACGAGTGTACCACTCTGCCGCTGTTTCGCTATCTAATTGTTTGGATAGATGAAACTTTTTTCGTTCTTGGAACACAATTACTGGGGGCGTATAATGTGTCTCTAAAATTAGGCACAATTCTTTAAAAGTTTTTTGTCGAGGAGTTTTCGGACTACATAAACTGTGTAGTGTACTATATGCGGCCGTACCCACCGTCTTCAGCAACACATTCTTCTTTTCTTCCTCTTCTTCACATTTTATTTCAGCTAAGTGAATGTCTAGTTTTTCGCGCCATATTGCCCATGTCTCGATGCTGGGCTCAAATTGTGGTACCACCATCATCAATTTCATTAATTCTTCCATGTTGAATTATTGTATTTTTTTCTTTTGACTCGTCGCCAGTTTGTATTATATTCGTACTTACGAATATCCACTTCAAATAGTACACATATATTGTACTTACAATATATATACTTATAAAAAACCGGAGGAAAAGAAATTACTTGAGCACGTTGCTTAGTGGTAGAAAATGTAGTGGTGGTTTATTCATATGTATATCGATAATTCTAGTGTTGGGTTTATTAACAATGGAGCGTTCGAGAGGCAGCGCAATATTATACGTACTTAAGGTCAATACACATAAGTACACATAAGTGTGCTAAAGGGCACGTCACATAAAAGTGTGATATGCTATATTACAAGTAAGCAATTGGCTTCTCAGCGAATTGACTTCTCAACAAATTAGCTCTCGATCAACAAAAGCTACTTCCACTGAAAAGGTACTGACGCTCGATAGTCTGCACGCGCATCCGCTTCTCAGTTCGGTGCAGCGCAAACAGTACCATAACGATCAACAAGAACCATTTCCCACCAAAAGCGCTGACACCCCATTACAGCTTCAGTTTGGCAACGAGCAACAACAACAATCAACGGACAGCTATTAGTTAGATTTGATATTTAAATAATAAGTTCTGCCCTTGTATTTTCACTTTTTATGTGCGCACTTGTAGTGAACGGCTGCCCTACATAGTAGGGAAATAAATAATAAATTAAAATCGAGTGTCTCGTGTTTTACTGGCGCCCAACGTGGGGCCACGCGCAAAATATCCTCATAAAAGGATAAACCGTAACCGTGGCCGTGGGTTCGGACCCACCCGTGTTTTCAATAATACGTTTCCTAAATAATTTAAAAAACCGAAAAGGAACAAAGTGGACAATTGCTAATATAAGCAAGTAATTCAAAAAAAAACGAAAAGGAACAAAGTGGACAATTGCTAATAATAATATCCCAACGGTTTTTGAGAGAGGACAGTATCGATTTCTTAATGCTGAACAGCGGATCTGATATATCAAACGTGCTGGAATGAGAGTTAAAATCGTGCAATTCAAAATTAGTTTTACAAGCTTTCAGAAATAGGGGGCAAAAGTGTCTTGATACCCGGGAGGGAACATTAAGGCTAACTTCGCCAAGAAGAAGCGGACTTGAAATTGAGCCTGTTAGTAATTTAACTATAAAAATTGTACCAAGCATTTGCCTGCGGCTGGAAAGTGTAGGAAGATTAATAAGTTTTAATCGGCTCGTATAAGGTGGAAGGTTATATTGAGAATCCCAACGGAAATTTCTTAAAGCAAAAAGTAGGAATGGGTTTTGAATTGATTCTATCTTGTCTGGTTAAATTTGATACCTTGGATTCCAAACCACCGAACCGTATTCCAGAATTGGCCTAACTAATGTTGTAAACAGGGTTTTGGTGATATAAGGGCCACAAAATTCTTTTGACCATCGTTTCACAAATGCAAGTACACCTTTAGCCTTGTTGACTGTCAGATTAAAGTTAAGCTTAGGATCCATTGTGATACCAAGGTCCACAAAATTGAATACCTGTTCCAGGTTATGGTTACCTACAGTATAAGAAGCGGGATGAACAGCTCTTCGCGAGAAGCTCATTACTTTACATTTCTTAAGATTTAGAGGCATATGATTTACTTGACCCCAGTACGCTATGCTGTCTAAGTCTGATTGTAGGAAAGACCTTTCTTTAATTGAAACGTACGATTTATAAAGCTTTACATCATCTGCATACATTAAAATTTTGGAAAATTGTATATCTGTAGAAATATCGTTTATAAAAAGCAAAAACAGAACCGGGCCTAGGTGGCTACCTTGAGAACTCCTGAAGTAGCATCAATGACGTCAGAGATAGTATTTTTAAACATTACCCTTTGTGATCTATCATAGAGGTATGAAGAGATCCAACGTAGAAAATTAGGTGGAAGGCCAAGAAGATCAAGTTTGTAGATGAGCAACGAGTGGAAAACTTTGTCAAATGCTTTACTGAAGTCAGTATATATAACATCAACAGATTTGCTTTCGCTTAATGCTTTTGAGATATAGGATGTTAATTCGAGTAAATTTGCAGAAGTTGANAAAACTTTGTCAAATGCTTTACTGAAGTCAGTATATATAACATCAACAGATTTGCTTTCGCTTAATGCTTTTGAGATATAGGATGTTAATTCGAGTAAATTTGCAGAAGTTGATTTGCCCTTTCAAAATCCATGTTGACTATATGAAATGCTAGAAGAGATAGAATGCGTCAACTGGTTTGTATTAATTGCTTCAAATAATTTAGGAATTGCAGAAAGCTTAGCTATTCCCCGGTAGTTCTCCACTGAAGATCTGCTACCGCTTTTATGTAACGGGGTTATGAACGATTCCTTCCATATAGTAGGAAAAACGCCCTCTTTAAGAGATAAATTAAATAACGCTGTTAACGGCTCATAGAGATAATCAGAACAATTTATAAGAATAAAAGTAGGGATCTGGTCAGGACCATAACTGAAGGACTGCTATAAGGATTTCAGATAAACCACTACATCATCGGGAGATATTACTGGGATATTTATTGAGTTAATTGGACATAGTTTAAAAGGATAGTCAATGTTAGCATGTGAGTTAATGGAATAATTGGATTTAAAAAACTGAGCGAATATGTTAGAAATTGTTTGATTATCACTAGAGACGGTATTTTGATACTTCATGGCGGAAGGAAAACCACGTACATTTCGCTTGGAGTTTACGAAGTCATNGAATCTCTGAACTGAAAATGTGAGGTTTCAGCCAAGTTTCAGTAAGAGAAAGAATATTATAACTACATTCAAGGTCTTTAAAGTATAAGTTCGTTAATTTAGTATTTAAGCCTCTTACATTTTGGTAATAAATACTTAAAGCAGATTTAATAATTAGTTTTTTGATTCAGTGTTATGACGGGGAATATTAGCTAAGTTATTTACTTTTTTGGGCCTATATTCGAATTCACGAACGAAAGCTCCGGGGGCCAAAAAGAACTCCTAAGCAGCGCATTAAAATTATCTAAATTTACGTCAATTTTAAATGAAGCAATATTTATTTCGTAATTAAAATTAAATTTTCTGATGCTTAAGCCGACAGTTGTAATTTTTGATGAGATATAAAGCTTTATATCGTCTTCGGTAGTGTCTCTCGAAAATGTAGAAACAAAGATCGACTTCTTTGGCGGAACCACAACTAGTTTCCTCGTATCAGACTGGACTACCGGCGGAGGGGGTTGAGTTACTGCGTTAGTAGTTGACGATAGGGAAGGCGGTGGAGGCTTTGAAGATGATGCCACCACTTCAATGGGGGAAGGGGAAGATACTTCAGGCTCCTTATTATCCGAAGCAGATTTCGTTACACGGTCTTTTGAGGCTGAGGATTCTGATGCTGGAGGACACGGAGAAGATAAATTAATTAAGTCGGTCGGAAGATTATTCTGACGTGCAACGGCAGCAATTTCCTTAGATGGACTATGAAGAGCAAATAATTTTAAAAATCGAAAAGGAACAAAGTGGACAATTGCTAATATAAGCAAATAATTAAAAAAACCGGAAAGGAACAAAGTGGACAATTGTTATAAGCAGAAATTTAAAAAAAAAAACTTAATAAATTTAATATTGGAATAGCACGCCAAGCCGAGGCGTCGCCAACGAGGGAACATTCAGGAAACTCCAGATCGCCTCCAACCATCCAGATCATCGGCCAGCCATCAGTAGCAATCCAGGATATGCCGGTATTTCGTTTGTAAGTCTAGACTAACGTAGCTTAAAGAAAATTGTAAAAATTTAAAAATTTTCAAGAAATTATAATTTTTTTGTTAACGTATATTGAAATAGTTTTGACTTTGTAAAATGGACACACAGACAGTTCAGGCTTTATTAAACGCGGCAATCCGTGCCGCCACGGAACAAACGAAGCGAGAGTTTGAGGCCACAGTGGGGGCATTGATCCAGAGGCTTAGGGTGCTGGAGCTGCCTCCTGCAGTTTTTTAATATAGGGAGATAGTGGTAAACCCAGCCGCCGAAAGGTGCGAGGAAACGCTGGATGTAGTGAAATCCCTTCCAAAGTTCAATGGGGACCAGCAAGATACGTATCCTGGAGACAAGAGGCATTTGCTGCCTACAAGTTGTTTGAGCCTTATGATGGTAGTTCCCGTCTCTACCAGGCAGTAGCAATCCTAAGGAATAGGGTCGTAGGAAGGGCTGATTTAGATCTGTCTTCATTCAATACAGTCCTGAACTTTAAGGCCATTATAGCTAGGCTTGACTTTACGTACGCCGATAAGAGGCCGGCCCATCTCATTGAGCAAGAGACGGCAACGTTGAGGCAAGGCCGAATGACTGTAACGCAATTTTATGAGGAGGTTGAGAAGAAGCTAACGCTTCTAATCAACAAGACCATCATGGTGAACGCAGGCAATACGGAGCTAATAAAATCCCTTAGCCAGAAGTACAGACAGGATGCCTTTAGGACATTCATATATGGGCTGCAGCAACCAATGTGCGACATTCTGTTCTCGTCTAGGCGAAAGGACATGCCTTCAGCTTTGGCGCTGGCGCAGGAGTTACGATCCAACCACCAGCGCACGGCATTTGCCAACACTTTTGCCACCTATACGGAACGTCAGAATCAACTTAATTCACCCCATTACAAACAAATCTCCCAGCAAACGCAAGGACAGAACGGAGCCGTGCCCATGGAGGTTGATGCCTCAGCGTCCCGGTTTGTACTAAACAAACCGAACCACCAATTTCCTACCAATAGGATGCAAGGTACATCTAACCGACTCCCAAGGACATCGTACGACCAGAGACCTTTACTGAACTATAGTAAACCTGCCCTAAATGCAAATACTAACGTACAGGGATCTTCAAGACCAGCAGGTCTCAACTTCCAAGACAAAGCAGTAAAAATACAAATAGGTTCGGACAGGCAGCCAATAGCAAAGGTTCAAAGGATTAATAGCTTAGCGCAGCAAGTCGATCCTGAAGCAAAGGACCATGACCAA